TGTTTACTAGGACAAACCTTTTTACGTTATGCTGTATTTGTTTACTAGGACAAACCTCTTTACGTTATGCTGTATTTGTTTACTAGGACAAACCTTTTTACGTTATGATGTATTTGTTTACTAGGACAAACTTTTTACGTTCTTAAAGGACAAGCAGCAGCTTTCGGCTTGTTTATCTATAAAGTTATTCCACATCCACCGAACGCGCTCTCCACCAAAAGCCTTGGATTCATGTTGCTGGTGTGTGAGGCTGGCCAGAGAGCGTGTTTGGTGGAGGTGGAATTACTTTAGCCCTTTTTACTGGCAAAATAAACATACTACAGTATGATTTTCACGCACATTCACATGCCAGAGGAAAAGACAGCAACAACAACAGCAACAGCCCTCCAAGTCCAAGGTTCCAACACACCATTGCATGCTTACACATACAGTAGACCTGCTCACGCACGAACACCCGAATGTACAGTCTGTTGCTGAGTACTACACCAAACCACACACAAGACGTACCACACCCAAGACCACACTCAAGCAACTCACTACGAGTACAGTGTCTGCATTGTCATTGTCAAGTTGCTCAGAGCCGCCATGTCATTATGGTGACATGTTTTTAGCAACAACCAGTTATAAAATATAATTTTACGACAACCAGATTGACAACACCAACACCACCCTGGTCTGTATGGGACTGTGCCCTAAGACATGATGTCATCAGCTCTTTGTCCATATTTGATGAGAAGAGCGTAGCATTGAATCGTGATTGGTTCCAGGTAGTGTTGTTATGTGGTAATGGGGTAGGTCCCCCATTATGTGTGTAGTCTACATGTGTGATGTGATTCTTGTCACCAATGACTATGTAAACAACACATTTTTATGGTCTCGGTCTGTGCAGAGCGCTAGCGGGACGACATCGTGCAGACGTGTAGCATACCACGTGACAACACAATGACACACGCACACACGCAATGCCAATGCTGCGAACAAAAGATGCCTGAGTTCGCGCTAAGGCACACAGCCACAAAGCTAAAGCAGTATCAGTAATGTATGAGTAGATGGCCGTCCGTGGTCTGCCAGACAGTGAGCATGACCTGCCATTTACCACATGCATGTGATGCACGATTCGTTCAAACATTAGATCCCATCGCTATTATTAATGGTCAGCACAGCTCAGTCATCCATTTCTCAAGGCACAGTCCAGTTGTCCGTTTTCGTCTCCCTGCCTTTCTCTTTTGTTTCAAACGTCTTCTAATGGTGTTGAACAGTCCCTCTGACCTACCTTTGTTAGACGTGCATTATCTTTTCCAGTCATTGTTACTCTTTCTCTCAACTACTAATCAGTCTGTAGTGGCTACAACGCTCTCTCAGAGAGTAACAAGTTCAGCACAACGCTCTCTCAATGAATAACAAGTTCAGCACAACGCTCTCTCAGTGAATAACAAGTTCAGCATAACGCTCTCTCAGTGAACAACAAGTTCAGCATAACGCTCTCCTTCTCTCAACGGCCTACTTATTCCAGTCAGCCCACTCAGCCAACGTTTGAAGAAGATCTTTAAAGGAACGCACAACTCACTCAGTAAGTAAAAATACAATCATGTGCTATAGGTCTATTTGAAATCCCCCTACAGCATTAGTATCACTGATATAGCACATTGTGACTATGCCTACTCCAGAGCTAGGACATCAGGCTGAGTGACACGGTTGAGAGCTAGCGTGTGTGCTCGTGCTTGGTAGAAATGCGCCAGGTGCTGCACTAACTGACCTGGTTGACATAATGGGTGTATTTGCTAACGTTAGCGACTGGATCATTCGATTCACTCCCTGACCTTGTTCTCGCACTGAGTGCTACATCTTATCGGTCTAGTTAGCAACTGTGGATCGTTCAGTAGCGGTTCATGACCTGTAGATCAAAGTCCAAAGTTCAAACAGTGAGTTACTCCTTCGCTGCACCATTCCGTCGATCAGGTGAATACCTTCTTGCAGGTGTAGGCCCTCCGGACTTCCACGTCAAGTTTCTTCTTTTCTCTTCACTGCTACTTGAAGACAACGTTCAACAAAACGGCAAGGATGACTTTCTTCAATTCAGCTCTTTCCTTTAGACTCACTAACTGTAGCCGTGTTCATCTATGAGAAGTTCAACGGTGACTTTACCCGTATTGCAAGTTAGAAACTGAATAGACCATTTTCAGAACTCTCAATAGACCAGAGAAGTTCATCATGTTTCCTACACTTAGCGAGAAAGAAGAGAAAAGTAGATCGTTTTCACTGTCATCAACGTTTCTCCAACAAGGAATGTAAGTTACAAATGGTGGCACTCCATCTCTTTCTCTTCGTTTACTTCCCATATTTTCGTTAGTACTGTCGTCTCGTTGGTCTCCACCTTTGTCCTTGTCTCGTGTCGCAACGTGACGGCCATTCAGGGACCTACTGATTGACCTCTTGTAGACGAAGTACATTTCAGTTCTTTGTAACGAAGGTAGACTTGACGAGCAAGAGGATGTATAGATATTTCTAGTTGTGATCGACATGAAGATTGTTCAAATATCAAATGTTTGCTGTTGTAACTGTTCGTGCTTGTCAAGTTGAAGTTGAAGTTGTTCCATTCATTTTGTGTGGAGACCTTTCTTCGAACTGTCGTTTTCTTCTTTGTTGTGAACGGTACGAGAGTTGGAGTTGTTTGAGGTGGAGAGCAGTATTCTTTCGTTGATAGTTGTCGTAGGCAGTTGTAGTAATGAGGTGTAACATTTGTCGGTGGTTTCTGTGGTTTTGCTGAGACAGGTAAATTGCATTGTGTTGCAGTGTGTTGCGAAGATGTCCCCGTGATGTCGTTCATTGATCGTCTTCACCTTTTTCAGCTACTGACACAGTCATTGACTGACGTAGCTGCACGTCAGTGCACGTCAGTGGACCTGGGGTCAAAGGTTATTCCACTCTAAATATGGTGTTGGGTATGACGTCATGATGAGTGTGTATGTGTGTGTGCGTACGCATCAGTGTAGATGCAAGTATTGACATGTGAGATCAATGTTGTTTGGATCATTGTGTATGTCATAGTATGGGAGTACTTGTTGTCTTTCTTACCTCTTATTTCCTGTCCCCTTGTCTGTCCATCTGTATGTGTATCTGTCCGTCTGTTTGTATCTGTCTGTCCATCTACGTTTGTCTGTGTGTGTGTGTGTGCGTGTGCGTGTGCATGTGTGTGTGTATGTGTCGTGTGTGTGCATGTGTGGGGCAGTCAGTCTGTCTGTCTGTCTGTCTGTTCTCTCTATGTCTGTCTGTCTGTCTGTCTGTCTGTGTGTCCATCTTGTGTGTGTGTGTGTGTGTGTGTTTGTGTGTGCATGTG